AATTGGGCATACCGTTAGATTGGTGTCAAAAAACAATAGTTGCAAAAATTTTTATTTTGTTCTAGCACAATTCTACGATTTTAAAACTAAATCAACGAGTAAACACCCTTTTGTCAAACACTTTATGTTTAGAGTAATTTCTTAGATTAATTGTATTGATTATCATTTTAATTTATATATTCAATTGACATTTGTTGTGCTATGAAATATGATAAGCAAAAATATTATAAATGATAAATTAGATTTATTTAATTGGTATTACTGATTACTAGATTATATTAGATTGTACTAGACGTATTAATAGATTTTCTTATTATGAATTTACTAAATGTTTTCAACTAATACTTTTATATCTAACAAGTAAAACTAAATAGTAAAAATCAATATTGTTTTGGCATTTTTAAAACCAATTAGAATAATGATAATGATGTGGATACATTAATTTTAATAGTGTACGTTATTAATTTATTGTAGGTCTATATGTATCATTTATTTTATATTATAAGGCTCGATGTTTGAACAGAATTATGTTAATTATAACTAAATGGGAGAATAGTATTACAGTTAATATTGCAAAAATAATATTGTTTAAAATAAATATTTTTATTAGGTGCAATAAAAGTTATACTGTTTGAATTTATATTTCTAAAAAGTAATAATATTCGTAAAAATAATATTACTATAAATACTCATTGAAAGTGATTGTAACATATACCTATGTAAGATTAATTAAGTAAATAATATTTTCATGTTGACAAATTATTTATTTTAAATTATAATTACTTAAACCAACAAATATTTTACATATTAATTATTTTTGTATTTATTTAAAAAATTATTTTAAAGTTAAGATTATGATGAACATATTAAACAATTTCAAAAATAAATAGAAATAATACAAATGATTTTAACAATTTCAAACTTACAACTTTGAAAATTATACATTAAATATCATAGTGACTAATAATATTTTTTGATAACAAATAGTGTGGCCCTGATTGGTACTTTAATAATCAGAAAAATAAAATATACATTATTAGCATGTTAAAATTTAATCAATGGTAACCGATTATTTTCAGTGCACTACGCACCGTAATGAATTTATTTATTAAATAAAAATTTTACCATATATAGTCATGTAATACAAAATACGGATGAATCAGTGATATTCATACAGTAGTAATCATTATACTACTTTATTATTGTTAATAATAAATAATAAAATACTTTTCTATTTAGTACCTTTTAATAGAATACTGAAAAAGTAATAAATCTAAGATATTATTAATAATTATTTTATATATAAAGGGACTAAATAATAGAAATATTTTTTGCTACATTTAACACAAATTAAACATGACGTTTTATCAAAATGTATATAAATGAAACAGACTTTTAATAAATAATTTATTTTCATAAAAGTTGTAAAAGTAGCTTACTTTAGTATTTATATAACTTGTTAATGATAAATTGTAAATTTTATATTAACTTTGTAGTTGATAAAAAAATAATTTTAATATAAATTTTTATTGTTATCCCAGTTTGTTAATTTATTTTAAATCAAAATATTACACATTCTGGGTAAGTAATACAAAATAATTCAATTCTACTAAGATTTAAGACATTATATCATAAAATTACAAAAATAAAATTAGCATGAACATCCTATTCATACCACTGGATGCCGTGGGTCATGTAAATACGGCAATTGGCATAGCTACAACACTAATGAACGTGGGTCATAAACCTACATTTTTGATACCTGCTGTTTGGAACACACAATTGCAGCAAGGTGGTTTCCAAACAATAAACTACCCTAAACACGATAAGCCAGAAATAAAAAGCAATACAAACGCCGTAAAAGACATGTCAAACCAGTTAATGGCTGAAGGGCTAATAGGACCAGGATCATCATTGGACAAAATGCTGGCATTAAATACGAAAAGGACCATGGCATTTGCGAGTCGTATTAAAAGGTTGGATCCATTTATTAAGCAAACAATAGATACCTTAAAACCAGACGTTATAGTCGTGGACCACGTGTTATGCATACCGGCGGTAGAGGTGTCGGGTATACCCTGGGTGTTGACCTGTAGCTGTAATCCGCTGTTTTTAATTGAAAATAATTGTGAAGAACTTACTCCACCAAAAGGGTCAGGTATGTTTCAATGAATATGTTATTATAAATTATACACTGTATGTATAGCTTAAATTCAAAATATAAATTAGCTAATAGTAAGTACTGTATATAATATTATTAAAAATTTAAATTCAAGCTCTTTTTAAATAATTTATTTGATAAATAAAATGCATGCAGATGATTTTTGAAAAATTATACAGTGCTTCAAAATATAAATACTGCAATGTTTTATGTCTTAAAAACAAATTTTAAAAAATAATTTTTTAATTATATTTCAATAGGTTTTTCGATAACTAGTGACAAAGCCTTATGGAAAAGGTTTCGCCAAACAGTGTATGACTCGACGCGTGAAATATGGAAAGAGTTTAATGAATACGTTGTGTCCTATGGAGCGAAACCCCTACCAAAACCTTTACTTCAATCCCTCGCCGTATCTCAACATTTATCCCTTTCCTAAGGAACTGGACTATACGGACGTCAGACCACTACCTCCAAACACATATCAATTTGACAACTTTATTCACATTAAAAATGACATCCCGTTTGAGATACCTGTGCCACTGAGGGATAAACCCGGAAAACTGGTATACCTTTCCTTGGGATCTATGGGCGCGGCTGACGTGAAGAATATGAAGAGATTAGTGACTATTTTGTCGAAATCTAAGCACAGATTCATTGTATCGAAAGGACCTCTTCAGGAGGAGTACGACCTACCGGTGAATATGTGGGGCGCGGCTACCGTTCCCCAACTGCAAGTTCTACCAGTAGTTGATTTGGTGATAACCCATGGAGGGAACAACACTATTGTTGAGACCATGTATTTCGGGAAAGCAATGATAGTTTTACCCCTATTTGGCGATCAATACGATAACGCCGAGAGAGTTGAGTGCAAGGGGTTTGGGAAAAGACTCGATGCCTACCAGTGCTCGGAGTCTGAGTTATTGACAGCTATTGATAGTCTATTGAACGATAAGGAACTGGAGAAAAGGCTGAGCAAAATATCGCAAAGAATTCAATCGGATAAAAGTTCAGCGAATTTACCAGGGTTGCTTGAAAATTTGCTTGCTCATAAGTAAATTTAAAATTGTATAAAAATTCATAAACTTTTTTTTCATAAAGTGCGTAAATTTTAATGAATTATAATCAGTCAGATATCCTTGTTAAAAATAAACATTCTGGTTTAATTTTATTTTATATTTATCATGTTACTCTAAACTACATAATAAACAATTTTAGCTGCCTTTCCACTTCATTAATCGCCTCAATCAGCTCAGCTGGATCATTTGGACCAGTAGAGTAAAAATCCCTGCCATGCCCGGTACCATGCACATACAACACCCTGGTGCTATTATTAAGCTCCCTGTCCACGCATAAGGCATGGGTCGGGTCCAGTGAGTGGTTAATGAATACGGCGTTTCAGTAGAGTAAAAATCCCTGCCATGCCCGGTACCATGCACATACAACACCCTGGTGCTATTATTAAGCTCCCTGTCCACGCATAAGGCATGGGTCGGGTCCAGTGAGTGGTTAATGAATACGGCGTTTGTTATGTTAATCGTGTCGATAGTCCCGTAATATTCACGCGTTTTCTCGACGTTATGCCGAATATACTGTTCGGTGAATTCGGGTCCGTAATAGTCGGCGCAACTTCGGACTAGAAAGTCAGCCGGGATATCGTGACCAAATGGTTGACGTGGGCTATTGGTGGTGATCATCCAGCCAAATTCGTTGCAGTTTTGATATATCCATTGTCGTACTATTTCATATTTGTGTATAACATTGATTTTTAATAATCCTAATCATTTTTAAAAATTAAATGTTTGAATATTGATATTTATCCTGATCAATAATCTTATGATCACTGAATAGTCAATAGATAACTAACAATATTTAGCATAATTATAAATATTGCTTTAAGAATATTATAAATAATAGCTAAATATAAAATTAAATATATCTAGAAATTTTTAACAAGATAATTGTATACATACGTGGAATAGGAAATTTACCATTACCATTTTCGTACGGATTAATATTTTTCATTATTTTAAGATGTTTGGCATAACTCGTAGGTAAACATTGACCATTTGCAATAATTTTTTGGATTTTTGAGTAACGCTCTAGTTCAGTTAGATTACCCTGGTCAGTAGTCATATTGGAGCATATCTGCTTTATTGTTGGATAGCCTAATGCGGGTACATCGTTAAATACAATAGTGGTGTATGTACTGGAAGCGAGGTAATTGTATAAATAATAAACGTCCATGGTGTTGTCCCCATCAAATGGATCACATAAATTAAGCGTTTTAGTTATCCCTTCCCAAACCTTTGGTCCCTTTTGTATCTCTGATTCTAATTGTTTTGTTGCGATACTATAAAATAGAAAGGTCCAAAGGTAAGTAAAATTTAATGTCGTTACCTTTGTAAATGTAAAATTTTAAATAATAATAAAATAATAAATATGTATTATAAAATAATTCACCCTAACTAATTGATACCGAGAAAAGCATTAAAAATAAAATTGTAAATAATAACTAAATTAAATGTTATTTAAAATGAATAAATAACATAAATTCTATAGTATTATATTGTAAACTACAGTGCCAACAATAAAAATTAAAAATGAACTTTATAACATTATAATTACATTAACAAAAATCTAGAAATATTGCACATACCTAATCGCATTTGAGCATCCCTGTCCCAATATCTCGGCAACGGTCTCAAAATAATTAGTATAATAAAACGACGGCTCTCCGGGGGCACTAGACACTACAGCACCGGCTACTAAATTGGGATACTTTGACCTAAACCACATTGCCAGCGCACCTGGATACGAGCCCCCAAAAATGACCCACTTGCTTTTCACCAGCGACAACGTCTTATTCAAAAACACAACAAAATCGGCCATATCTTCCAGACTTTGTCGACTGGACAGGTATTTAAGGCTAGCCATGGATAGGTCACCGGTAGGTTGGGAGCGCCCGTAAAATCTTCCAGCGACAACGTCTTATTCAAAAACACAACAAAATCGGCCATATCTTCCAGACTTTGTCGACTGGACAGGTATTTAAGGCTAGCCATGGATAGGTCACCGGTAGGTTGGGAGCGCCCGTAAAATCTATGCTCTATGACCACGAGTAACGCGTTGTATGTTTTGGCGTATCTCTCGGCGATTTGACCATTTAGGACGTAATTAGGACTGGCAGGTGCCTCACCATTGTTTATGAAAAATACCGGTCCACCCGGTTTGTAGAAAGTGTTGTTCATGTAGTATAGCTAGAAAATGTTTTTGGTTAATCGAGCTGTATCAAATAATAAATTAAATTTGTTAAAACTCACCTGTTTGAAAGTACGATGGTCACTGGAATTAAAATGGTCAACTTTCTGATCGAACCAATTTTCCGTGATGTTTATGGCTGAGTTACCTGGATCATCGGGTGGATAATAATATGCAAATATCACGTTCGCTAGTAAAAGCAAGTAGCTTGCTATTCTGATACAATTCATTGTTAATAAAATTGTTTTATTATGTTTAATTAATATTAATATTTTTGAAAGAGTTTCAAGCTATTTATATGGTTTTAATTTGATTAGTGCAATGGGTCTATCTATTAAATAGTAAAATTATCTTGTATTTCAAGTATATGATCAATATGTTATCTCAAGTGGATTGTATTAATTATCAACAAGTATATAGTGAATAAATTGTTACACAATAATGTTATTTAGTCTTTCAATACTGCAGATCAATTTCTACCATAACTATATTTTTTTGGAAAAATTATTAATTTATATATTTTTTCAAAACAATGTGATCAATGACAATTTTTATTTTATAACTCTTACATCAAGGTAGTGAATATTATAATATTATCTAATATTGACGATTCTTCAAAATTCCAAATATGAAAATAGTGTTCACCTTGAATAAAAACATTTAGCATGAACAACCTTAATAATATTAGGTATTTATTTGTACCAGTAGTAGTTGAAATATGAACATGGGAACTGTAGCCCATCTATAGTCCAGTTTTTGCATAAAATAGCCGCCAACTACCGGTCCAAATCCATACCTGTTCATAAATATTCTTAATTATTACCTTGATTTTATTATTTCCTTTATAAATACCCTATTGATTCCGATATAGTGAACAGTGCTGACAATATTGTGGTCATTGAATTACTTTCAGGGATACCATACTTACTAGCATAATAATAAAAATATGAACTTATTTTAAAGTAGCTAGTTGCTTAGAGTTTATAAATAAGATTAAGCTTACATAGTCTCATTATATCCCTGTATAAAACTGCCAACCAATATAGCACTGGCACCTATACCTAAAAATGTCTGGGCTATGACCACCAATAATAATGATCTGAAAATATGTTCATTTTTTAAATAAATGTTTTACACAAATAGCTATAACTTTACGGCTGTATGGGTAGGAAAGGTAGGGGTCCTATGAGTGCAAAACATATGAGACCCGATGTGCAGCCCATTAGACTAATTGCATAACAAGTGGACAGCCTTTCAGCCAGAAATGCCCACAATTTGTTGCATAACGCGTAGGATATCCCGGATACTAAAAATATGAGTCCTTTCGCTGATGATGATATACTTGTTATCTAGATACAAATAAATACTTAGTAGGCTTACAACCAAATGTACTTTATATTTAGCTTACTCACAGTAATCAAATGTAAATCTAACGTGGATGAATTAAACCCCAAAATATTGCCGGCATTAAAATAAACAAGCACATTTAACGCGATTCGAGGTTTGCTTAATAGCTGCCAAAATGTAATCTTTTCATTGCTCTCACAATCCTTTTGCTCTGAAAAGTAAATTAAATCTTAAAAATCATATAAATTTTAAATTTTGTTATTTATTATACTATCGTTTGAGACACAAAAGTGAGCTATAATTGCGACCACTATTTGCATTGAGCCTAATATAAGAAACGGCAGACAGAGTCCGATTCCAACGTATGAACCTAGCTAATTTTATTTATCAAAATGATTAATATTAAATTTAAAGTACAATGAAAAACTAGTTTAAAATACCTCGTATAATAACCCACCTACAGCGGGTCCAAGTAGTAATCCCATAGCGTAGCACATTTCAATATTTGCCTAGATAATTTAAGTGATTATTTTTGAATTTTGAATTATATTTTAGATTTTTATTAATTACGTATGAATTTGATATGTCGTCAGAGAATTGCAAAAAGACCAGGCTAAAACATGATGTGAAAAAGGCACCCATACCAAACCCAATACCAATTCGGTGTAACATGCCCATTACAATAAATATTGTCACATTTGTGTACCATTGTAGTAAGCTAATTTAAAATACTTTTATATGCTTTATAAATTATAATACAT